ACCTTGTTGGATAATTTTTACTTTGAACCTAGAAATGGTTTTGCAGCATAGGCACTATTTTACAGTGAAATGAATTTTTTCATGTCTATGATGACATTATTGACTTATGGAAGCAAGTGAAAAAAAAGGACTAGCGTTTATTGGATATCATCTTCAAGGCTGTTGCTGTTACCTGGTACATTATGTAGTTTATTACATTTAATTTCATTCTGTACAACAGCCATATGCATAAGTTATGGATATATCTTACTGGTAAATAAGCTGAACCTTGGGACAGCTAGTGATAGGAGAGTCATATTTAAACCTGCATTTATCAAACTCAAAAGTCTGTGCTATTGCCAGTGTTTTATGTTATATTTCAGTAAGCTGGGAACTCTGTATGCACATTCATGATACCACGTTACCCAGTGAATAAAATACTTTCATTGTAAAAGTGAGTATCTGTGTGTAAACTTACTTCATATTATGTAGTGTAATATCTCATAGGTTTTGTGGTGCAAAATCTCACAGAATTACAAAGATATTGGATGAACTTAGTATCCATTAGTGCTCGCGATTATAGTTTACATGCCATAGAATACATGTGTTATTTCACATTAAGAAATAAAAGCTCTCATTCCAATTTTAAATTTGTAACAGATCATGGAAAGCTACAAATTCATGCTTAAGTTACACAAATTCAAGTGATTCTTAGGTAGAAGTTGCTTAGTAACTGCATAGTGTCAGATGCTTTAATGAGATATATCATCTTTGTAAATGAAAATTATTTCTGTCCTGTTTGCGTATTGAGGATTGCTTCCCCTTTTCCTGGTATAATGATAAAGCTGGATGAAAGTGAATTAACAGCAGATTAAGATTTGTGTTGTAATAGGCACTTGGAGTTCTATTTATTTAGAAATCTAAAGTTTAATTATTCAAGCAATATGCACTTCTTGAGCAATAGTAGTAATGGAATAATAATAGGAAATAACAATTAAAAATAAATGTAAAATCACATGGAGTTTTAAAATTTAAAGGAAGCTGCATAATTGTCCGTAAGTTTAAGGATGCAGATGACACAATACCTAACTAAAAGTGATTTAGAAAAGCAGACAGATATGTAGGCTGGGGTCACCAGGGAGGATTTTTTAGTTCTGTGTTAGACATCAGTTCTGCACTCTTCTCTTCTCTTCTCTTCTCTTCTCTTCTCTTCTCTTCTCTTCTCTTCTCTTCTCTTCTCTTCTCTTCTCTTCTCTTATTGCAAAGTCAGATATACAGAGAGGAGGGGAAACAGAGACGAAGATATTCTATCCAGTGATTCACTCCCCAAGTGACCGCAATGGCCAGACCTGAGCTGATCCAATACCAGGAGCCAGGAACTCTTCTGGGTCTCCCACGTGGGTGCAGGGTCCCAAGGCTTTTGAGCAACCTTGACTGCTTTCCTAGGCCACAAGCAGGGAGCTGGATGGGAAGCAGGGCCACCGGGATTAGAACCTACGCCCATATGGGCTCCCAGCACATTCAAAACTAGGACTAGTCACTAGTCTATCACGTTGGGCCTTCCTTACTGATTTCCATAGTTTGTTGTATTAGCGGAACACTTTCAGTGTCCATTGGCTGACATAGTCGACCTTAGGGTCTATTTTCCCAGATAGATGCTGTTATTGTTTGGCTGAGTTACTTGTCCAATTTGTTCTGCCTGCCTTCCTCTGGGAAGGTACAGATGTCCTCTGCAGGCCTCAATGGACTACCATATCCTCCATGTGGATCTGGGCCAGGTGTCCATTACTCTATCTTTTCCACTGAGGAGGACCAGGTTTCACAGATGGACCAAGGACCAGACTAGGTGACCTGGTTCCCACTGCACCCCCTGCATCCAGGGATGACAGACCTGGAATCCACCATGTGGTAGACCAAGGACCCGGGCCAGGCAAACCAGGCCCTGCAGGACCCTCCACTGCCTGGGCTCTTGGACCCAGCCCTGACTGTACAGATGGGTGGAAGGACGTGTCTAGGTGACCTGGTTCTTGCCCATCTCCTTGCCCCACTGGGTCATGGACCCAACACCCCCCCTGCTCGTGGGCCAAGGACCTGGGCCAGGTGACCCAGGCCCTGCTGGGCCCTCAACCTTTGGGGCTCACGAATCTGGCACCCAATATGCAGGTAGGTCATGGACCAGGGATTGGTGACCCGGGCCCTGCCCGACCCTCATCCCTGGGGCATAGGAACCCAGTATCCACCAGTAGGTGCTGCAGCCTAGCCAGGCCTAGCATGGTCTGTAGCAACAAAAGTTGCCATTTTCTGTCTTCCCTGTAAAGTGTCATTATCATGTCATTTCTTAGTTTAGTTTTCAGGCATGGAGTTTTTTGATGATGATGTCACATTAGATCCCTTATGGAACACACTTGAATTTTATTGCCTTTCAAAATAACAAACGTGAATACAGAGCATGGACAATTATATATAAAGAGAGAAACTAATTTCATATTGTCGCACTTCATTTTTAATGTTAATGGTCGTGGTGCCATTGTGTGTTTAGGTGGTCAAAGAACTTGCATTATTGTCTCTTCATCTGTTGAACAATTTTGGAATATCTTCAAGTAGCTATTAGATTAATGTATTTGATTGTATTTGCCCTGGTTTTATGTCTTTTTACATATATTATCTCCCTTATCAGTCTCAAGAAACATAAGGCCAGTGAAAGATTATATATTTAAGAGGCAGACTCAGAGGGAGAGGAATGGCAGGGGAGACAACAGAAGGTTACAGTAGTGTGGGCTGTGCTGTGGGTTGCACTGGGCCGCATTGTTGATTGGAAACTCAGTCCAGTTCTGCCATGGAGGTAGGAAGAATGCCTGAGCCATCATTTCTGCCTCTCATGGTCTACATTGTCAGGAAGCTTGAGTCAGGCCCTGGAATCAAGAATCAAACTCAGAGATGTGAGATGCCTGATCTCCAATTCGTATGTGGAGAATCCAAGAAATTAAGAGAATAGCCTAATGTCTCATAAAATATTGATGGTAACAATGGTATTAGTTCTTTCATTGAAATCTCTGTATTGTAACAATAAATCCTAATTTTACTTCTCTAACATTTGATTTTTTTCAGCATTTCTTGTTGCATTTATTGTACAAATTTTAATGAGATCTTTTCACTATACATTCTCTTCTGAATTTGCAAAAGATCATGTTTTCCTTGCCTAGCATTTTGATTTTACAAATAAGTTCATTTAATATTTAAAGAACATCTGTTGCATTCACGAATCATTGTTGAAGCATTTATTAGATAGCATGTATGTGTAACAGTACCATCGATGTGAAAACTCACAAGGAAGGTATTATGGTCTTCCTTCAAAGAATTAAAGTGTAGTTCTAGAACTAAAGTATACATTAGGAAAAAAGAATTAATTTTTAAAAAAATTCAAGGAAAGCTACATATGTATGTTATGAGGCCATGGAGCAACAGAGTTATTGAGTATGATTGGGTCAAGAAAGTTGTCTTTGTGGTAAAATTTAAACTTAGGATAGAAATATAGATTGCTAAAGTATGTGATTCTGTTTGGGAATGGGAAGTTGTGATTTTATTTGCAGTGGACAGGATAATCCAGAAGAAATAAATTGTCTGGGCCAAAACATGGCAATCAGAGTTGGAGGTAGCATGTGGAATGTTGGCGAATATGAGCTCAGAGTTAATAAATAAAGAAGATGGTTTTGTTTAGAGATAGGAAGATAAAATTTTATGAGGAGGGTTTTAGATTTGCCTTAAGGAAGGGCTACTGTTAGTTCTTGGAGTGTTAGCAGATGTTTGCTTGCCAGAATCTATCACATACAATCAGACCCAGTTATTGAGCAACAGCGAAACCCAATGAAAATAGTGGATTACGCGGTAGCCTAGCAGCTAAAGCCCTCGCCTCATAAGCACTGGGATCCCTTGTGGGCGCTGATTCTAATCCCAGTGGCCCCACTTCCCATCCAGCTCCCTGCTTGTGAAAAGCAGTCGAGAATGGCCTTGGGAAGCTGCACCCATGTGGGAGACCTGGAAGAGACTGCAGGCTCCTGGCGTGGGATCAGCTCAGCTCCAGCCATTGCAAGCACTTAGGGAGTTAATCATTGGACAGAATATCTTCCTCTCTGTTTCTCCTCCTCTCTGCATATCTGACTTTCCAATAAAAATAAAATAAATCTTTAAAAATATATCATGGGGAAATTTATAGAGCAGATAAGGGAATGATGAACTGAGAATGCAAATTCTCCCATCCAAGTACTAACCAGGCCCAACCCTGCTTAGCTTCTGAGATCAGGCGTGGTCAGGCTGGTATGGTCATAGACAAGAATGCTAATTCTAATAATATCTTTAGGAACGAGCCATAAAGAAGAGTAATAGAGATTAAAACTGAAACGATATATTACAGGAAAGAATTCAGATTTTGTTGGATTACTCATTAAAACCATTTAAAAATTTTTATGCAGATTTCCCCCATGTCACTGTATGTTCCTCTATTACATGCCCTAGTCAAGAATTTCTCAGTAGCTGTGCTCTTTGATGAATAATTATTATGTCCTCGGCACTGTGTTTGCATTCAATACCACCTCTAATTTTCAAACCAGCTTTATGAAGGAGGTGATACTATGACTAAAATCAGTAATTTAGGGCTCAAAGAATATAAATAACTTGTGTATATTCACAGAGCTGACTGGTCATAGGATGTGTTAATTGTGTGGTCTATGCTCTAAATGTGATTCCTATGACTGCCTTAAATGATCAAAAGTGTACATGTGATAAGACTTTTTAAAAGCTGAGCTCTTTGTGTTTTGTTTTTTCCCCAAGTCTTAATTATGTTTCATGTTGCATTGAAACCTTAAATAAATTGTAGTGTCTGGATCACATACGCCAAAACATATGTTTGAATTTTATAAGATATATAGAGTAGAGAAAAATTGCAAAGGAGAAGCAACACAGAGGAAATGTATCAGGGCAGAGTTAGTAAAAGCATGATGCTGATTATTGTAATTTGTTATTAGTCAGGATTTACATGACGAAGTTGAAGAAGCTGGTGCACTGCAGAAAAATCCCGCATCTGTGACATCTGTGAAGTCCCCAGGAGCTGCAGAGTCTGCCTGCCTTGCCACAGAAGATGAGTCATTAAGCAGTGCGAGCTGTGAAATGCCTGCAGAACAAACTCCAAGCAGTGATCCCAAGAGCACCCCGGAAGTAAATGATGCTGAAGGGACAGGAGGGAAGGAAAACCACTGTGATGACAGAAGCTCAGAAGAAGAAGCAAACACAAATGTGCCCACAGCAGCAGACGCAAAAGAGCAACTGAAAACAAATAGGATTACTTATTCACAAATTATTAAAGAAGGCAGGAGATTTAATGTTGATTTGGTATCAAAGGTAAGTACCAATTTTGCCCATCTTAATGTAGAACAATAATTGATGAAATGTAGCATCTGGACCCAAAAAATCAAATTTTTATAATTTTATTTATTGTATAAACAGGTAGTATCCAAAAGTCAATAATTCGTTTAAAATGTTTAAGTTTGAAAGCACTTCATAATCCTCATGTTAAGGAGGTTTGAATGTGTTCTTGTCATTTATAACTAAACATTATTTTTGCACTTAAAGTGCTTTTGCATTAGATCACATAGTGCATTGGAGTATTGTAATGCATGGACGTGTGAATTCTATTTTTTTTGAAAACAGCTAATGAACCTTCTTACCCATCCATATTATTGACAGTCAATTTACATAAACTTTTAAAAACTTTGTATATTATTCTTTTAACATCTGCATGATGAATTTTTCAAGTGAAGCAGTGCAGTTTTGAAAATTTCGTGTCCATGTTCAAGGGTTTTGGAGGATAATTACATAGCGGGAGGATGGGAAGAATGCTCTTGTGTTTATTAGGTTTCCATCCTTCACTCTAGCATTAATTTTTAGTGTGACTTCAGACAAGTCTTGGGTTTTAGCAGGGTGCAAAGTTGCAATGGGTTTACAGGAAGCAAGATTGTACAAGAGACTAGAATAGAAAACGAGTGGGATTAAAGATTACAATCTTAAAGGGTTACGATAGAGTTTCAGGGTTAGGGAAAAGTAGAATAAAAATAGAGAAAAAAATCCTTTAAGCCAGAAACAAACCAAGAGGAATTGAAGGCAAGTGAATAATCACAGAGTTGCCTTAAAACTAGATTTCTCAATTTATTGTGCTTTCTTCAAGTTGCAAATGATAAGAATAAGAGAGGGACCAATTCAGGGCCCTCACATTTTGCTGTTGCAATCATATTAGTCCTCCTGTCTATGAACTTGATGCCTGAAAATGTGAATAGCTTTTTGCTATTTTTATCAAGTTTTCCTTTTGTCATATAGCATTCTGTATTCTGTCATTATCTGAGTTGGTTCTGCCTCGGCTCTAACTTCTTATTTTTCCAAACTGTCAATTGTATCTCTCCCATCTAGATGCTTTGACCTTGTCATGTCATGATTTTAAATCTAGCATTCTGTCAACGTGCTTATTTTTGTCTGGATGGAAGTTTAATTCTAGCACAATAATAGACTTCCAGTTCTTATGAACAATACTCTCTAAAAAGCTCAACAGCAATAAAAACTCAAGAAAAAACTGAACTAGCCGTAACAAATGGACCTACTATGAAAAAATTTCATCATTAGTTCCTTAGAACTTGTATTATGTATTGTGAATAACAATCAGTGATATCTTATAAAGGTGTAAGATGTTTTATATGAAATATTTACCTTTCACAGGAAAGTGTTAGTTGTAGAAATTAGCATAGAAAACTAATTGTATAAATAAATATTGTTGTGGAATAGACAAATTTGATTAGGAACTGAAAGATTTGAGTAGTTTGTGAAAGGGATGTCTGGGTATTTTCACTAATTTTATTGGTTAGTAAGCTGGATTCTGTAAGGTAAATAAATTTTTAAAAATGTCTAGAGGCAGTTTACTAGGCAGTTGTACTTTGTACATAGTTTTCATAGGTTCATAATCTAAATAAATAATCATCACTTGTTTTCATTTCACAAAAGCAGAATTACCTAAAGACTTTATAGCTATAATAACATAGTTGATATTATTGATCACTTTTAAGAATGTTACTCATTTAGTGAACATTTGCTTAGTACTGACTGGGTAGAAAGCACTATATTGTATGTTATCGGAGCATTTGTTCACTCCTTGCAAATTTCATGTATTCCAAAATATTTCATTTAACACATCTAAGTTTAGGATGATTGATAGATCTATCTTAAGCCCTAGCTCTTTCCTAAAGTCTAAGTTAATATCTTCGTGCTGCTTTATATTTCTACATGCATTCCATTCCAAAGTTGTCATGGCGTACGTCCTAAATACTTTGGGAAATTTACAGTTTGGAATCAACAATCATGAATATAAGCTTTTAAACATAATAAATTGGGGAAAATTTTGGTCAGATAAAATGCTTAATTTATTATACTGCTTAGACTTAATGAGATGTAACCAAAGATGAAATAGTTAAGCAATTATAATTCATTATTCTGAGCTCTAATAATTATGGAAACGGCAAGGAAAAGCCACAGTTGTTAATTATTCAATCTAGTTCCAGTTTTTTCAATAAAATTGTCATGTTAGTTAGCTTCTCATCATTATGAATTCACTGTGGCAGGTCACATAGAATATGACAAAAATGGGATTTAAGTTTAAATATGATATTCTTAGAGAATCAAAATTGAAAGTTCAGTGACTTTTTAAAAAAATTTATTTTGTATTGGAAAGAAAGATTTACAGAGAGATGGAGAGACAATGAGAAGATTTTCTGTCTGCTGGTTCACTCCTCAGATGGCCACATTGACCAGAGCTGAGTCAATCTGAAGCTAGGAGCCAGAGGCTTCGTCCAGGTTTCCCATGGGTACAGGGTCCAAAAGCCTTGAGCCATCCTCCTATGCTTTCTCAGGCAATAAGGAAGGAGCTGGATGGGAAATGGGGCAGCTGAGACACAAAGTGACACCCATATGGGATGCTGGTGCTTAATGGTGGAGAATTAGCCAGTTGAGCCATCACTTTGGGCCTGTTTTCAGTAGTATTTTAAATTACTGTTGAAGCTGGGATTATGCCTTGAGCTTTATTAGATTTTATTATGTGAAAATAGATTTGTATGTAATGTTCTGAAATTATTAGTTCTTTTAAGGGTTTTTCTTTTTTTTTCATTTTTAAAGATTTATTTATGTTGGAATGTTTACCGAGGGAAAAACAAAGATCAATCCACTGAATTGGTGCCTCATTTATCCTTATCATTTGAAACTTGAAGAAAGCATAGTTAATTGAGAAACCTAGTTTGTTGTTTTTTTATTCATTTATTTTACTTCTTTTATTATTATCATTTTACCATACAGTTCCATAGGCCCTGGGATTTCCCTTATCCTCTCTCCAGTTCCCTCCCCCGCCTCACTGAGTTCCCCTATAGCATTACTATAGTATAGTTCTTGATACACAGTCATATGTCCATCATTGCGGGCATGGACAATGGCAGAGTCCAGCATCCTATTGTCAAGATATAGTAAACAGTTTCATTGGGAGTCCACCTTTGTTTAAGAAACCTAGCTTTAAGAGAGCCCTGAGGTTATTCACCTAAATGGCCACAATGGCTGGACTGAGCTGATTTGAAGACTCTTCCACGTCTCCTATGTGGGTACAGGATTCCGTGGCTGTCGGCTGTACTATCCTCTTTTGTTTTCCCAGTGCAAGCAAGGATCTGGGTCTGTAAGTGGAATAGTGGGACACGAGCTGGTGCCCATGTAGGACGCAGGTGCTTCCAAAGGAGGATTAGCCAGCTGAGCCATTGCATTGGCCTCTTGAGGGATTCTTGAATGTTCATTTTTTTTTTTCTTAACAAATGACATTTTTGAAGTACCTGCCAATATTACTATTGATACATATTTAAGATGGGATTATATTTTTGAAAATATGGGCTGTATGGATTGTAAATGGTTGTAACATGCCATATTTCATCAATCTGTAGAAAAGAAACTTTGCCCATTTTGTTTGTTATATACAATGTTGAGCTAATATTATAAAATTTTAGTTAGTTGCTACTGATGTTCTGAAAGGCTTTTCTGAATTCTTGGATACCCAACTGGTTGATTGAGATCAATTTTTGAGATTACCTTTAACTATGTGTAGTAAAGCCAATTTTCTTTTCTATCTTCACAGTGTAATATTTGCATTTTTAACACTTGTCAAAGTTATAGGCATTATTTAATGGTATCTTGATAGAGGAAATGCACAAATGCTTAGAATTTAACCATATTGTTAAATTCAGAATGACAGATAGTATTGTTTAAATGGTTGTTTTTATCTTTCTGAGGGTAGGTATGAGGGATACTGAAAGATAACATCAATCCCTCAGGGATCGTGCCTTGGCTCAGGAGGCTAATTCTTCACCTTCAAGTGCCAGCATTCCACATGGGTGCTGATTCCTCTCCCAGCTGTTGCACTTCCCATTTGGCTTCCTGCTTGTATCCAGGGAAAGTGGTGGAGGGTGATACAAGTGCTTGGGTCCCTGCATCCATGATGGAGACTCTAAAGAAGCTCCTGGATCCTGACTTAGGATCAGGTCAGCTCTGGCCATTGTGGCCATTTGGGGGAGTGAACCAGCAGTTTGAAAATCTTCGTCTCTCTTTCTCTTTCTATAAACTGCCTTTGCAATAAAATAAATTTAAAAAGAGGGTCAGATTAAGAGAAAAAGAGCCTTATATTAGTTTGGATTATTTTTGAAGTGTTTTTTTGGACTTTGAATCTTGGGTAATCCATTACAAACCTATAACAATTATGACAGTATGTATTGTGACATTTATTGGTATGAATTTTAGAGCTAATTTAAACCATATTTGTCACTTTTTCTTTCCTTACATTTTTAATCTTAATCTATTTTCTTTGTTTAGCTGCTCTATTCTCGAGGATTGTTAATTGATCTTCTGATCAAATCTAATGTTAGTCGTTATGCGGAGTTTAAAAACGTTACCAGGATTCTTGCATTTCGAGAAGGAAGAGTGGAACAGGTACTGTGTTTGCCAAATATTGTAACTGATTAGGAGTTGAAGTATTATCAGTTGTTTTGGAAGGATAAGCAATCGGATTGTTATATCCTCTTAAACCTGTAAATTCCAAGCATGCTAGCAGGGTAGGGTTTGATCAATTGCATTTTCTTTTGTTAACTTGCTCATGAATTATTCCACAACTTAATTTTGGTATTGAAAAAGTGTTAGTTTCAGGCAAATCTGCTAAGTTTAAGCTGTCACTTGTTTCCTGGTATGGGTGATGTGCCATTGGCCTTTTTAATGTCATGGGAAGCAGCTTGGCAGAGTTAAGAAAGAAAACTCCTAAATGAATTAGCTCTGAATTGAACAGATGCTATTAGAACTGACTGACGGTAACATGGAATGATCCTACTAGAATGAGATAGTTCTGTAATATGTAAGAGGAAAATCTTTAATTTGGACTGTAGTTGAATCACAAGGAAGCAGTTTTTTAATTTAAAATTACAATGTATTTTCAGGTCCCATGTTCCAGAGCAGATGTTTTTAATAGCAAACAACTTAGTATGGTAGAGAAGCGGATGCTAATGAAATTCCTTACATTTTGCCTGGAGTATGAGGAACATCCTGATGAGTATAAAGGTATTGGTTCTTACTTGTCTGCATTCTCCAGTTACTAGATATTTTTTTTTTGAACACTAAATCATAAGAATTTTAAATAATCTTCAGTTGATTAAAGGGAAATTTGTATTCTAATTGAGGAAACATGGAGAAACGTGATAAGCTAACAGTCCCTCTAATTTCACGTTGAAATTCTGCTTTTGTTTTTTCCCATTTCTTCATCTAATTACAAAAGGAAAAGTAAAATCTCCGAAGCCTTGATTATTTTTCGCTTTTTTTCCCTCATCTCTCTCTAAATGTACTAACTTGTGGAATATTTTATACCACAAAATCTTTGAAGTATATGACTGGGATTATAAAGAAAGATGATGAACATCTTAGAGAACAGAGAATGCTTATATTTCTCTGATTGAATGAGCTACTTATTAAACATGTAACTGTTTTAAAATGCATTCTATTTCTGGAGTATCTGGTAAATCATTAGCAACGTGTCATTTAAGTGAATTAAAATGAGATATAATTAGAAATACAGTGTCTCAGTCCCATTAGCCAAATTTCAAGTGTTTACTAATAACCTGTGACTAGTAGCTCGTGCAGCTGCACTGCAGCTATCCTGTTCATTTTACAAATTCCGTCCTGGACTTAAACTTTTATTCTTGTATGACAGTTCTAACAACTGCCTTTTCATACATAGTGCCCTCATTCGATATGTCATTTTTTTTTCTCATTAGAAGTAAAGTGTATACTGAATAATTTTTCAAGCATACTCTTCCTTAGAACCTTGAAGTATTCATGTTGACAAAATATAAAAAGGCAAATTGGTGAGGCCACTAGATGTGCAGAAGTGATTTCTAATCTTGGCTGTGATTCATTTGTCACAAATCGGATGCATCATTTCAGTATTGGGAATTATATGCTTTTTAAAAAAAGATTTATTTATTTTTAATGGAAATGCAGATATACAGAGACGAGGAGAGACAGAGAGAAATATCTTCCATCTGCTGGTTCATTCCCCAAACAGCCGCAGTGGCTGGAGCTGAGCCAGTCTGAAGCCAGAAGCCAGGAGTCAGGAGCCTGGAGCCTCTTCTGGGTCTCCCACATGGTTGCAGTGTGCCAAGGCTTTGGGCCACCCTGGATAGGAAGCGGGACCACTGGGATTAGAACCGGCACCCATATGGAATCCCAGTGTGTTCAAAGCGAGGACTGTATCCAATAGGCTAGCTCGCTGGGCCCCAGAGACCTATATATAATTTTACGTTCATCTGGAATTGTTACTCAGAATTGGAACACACTATTGCCAAAGCACAGCAGTGTTCTTTTCCCCCTGAGGATATAATAAAACTTTAATTGCTGTTCCTGAACTTTCAGGTACATAGATTCAAGAATTTTTACGATTTTTGTTTATAAAGATTTTTCTTGGTTGAGATTTCATTTCCTACAACTAACGTTACAGTTACATTGCTTCCTGTTCTTAATTTAAAGGAAAGTTTTGGAGTATTTCTGTTTTGATGTGCGATTACATAAGAAGAGTTATTGCAGGAGCCATAGAGAAATTAGTTTAATTATGTTTTAGTCAGAGTTGAGTGTTCTGGGTTTTAGTAAGGAAAATATATTTCATGAGTCATGTAACACTCTGTCATTGCATCAGCAGATTTTCATTTTTTTCATGTTTGATATCTTTAGATGTAGTTATTGGCTTTATTCTGCAGTGTATCAAGATAATGAAATGAGATTATTGCCAGCTATGCAAACTTATTGAATTATTTAATGATTTTTTTAAAAATTCATAAAATATAAACCAGACTCATCATTTAAAGAATAAATGTTGTGCCAGTGATTTGATAAACCATAGGGAGGTGTCTTTTTTTTTTTCGCTCAAAGATCAGCTCATTATCCAAAATTTATTTATTTTTTTTTCTTAAGATTTATTTATTTTTTTTAATTACAAAGTCAGATAGAGAGGAGGAGAGACAGAGAGGAAGATCTCCCCCATGATTCACTCCCCAAGTGACAGTAGTGGTCGGTGCTGTGCTGATCTGAGCTGGAAACCAGGAGCCTCTTCTGGGTCTCCCACATGGGTGCAGGGTCTCAATGCTCTGGGCCGTCCTCCACTGCTTTCCCAGGCCACAAGCAGGGAGCTGGATGGGAAGTGGAGCTGCCAGGATTAGAACCAGCGCCCATATGGGATCCTGGCACATTCATGGTGAGGACTTTAGCCACTAGTAATGTTTCCACCAGCATCATTTGTGAAGTCCGTTCAAAGAACTTGATATCATTTTTATGGTGGTGATTATAAATACAAATGTAAGTGCAATTTTATTTGATAAATTTTCATTCATCGTTTTTTAGGATATGAAGAGGTTACATTTTCTGAATACTTAAAAACTCACAAATTAACTGCCGGCCTCCAATATTTTGTTCTGCATTCGATTGCAATGACGTCAGAGACAGCCACCACAACCTTAGATGGCCTCAAAGCTACCAAACACTTTCTTCACTGCCTTGGGCGATATGGCAACACCCCATTTTTGTTTCCTTTGTATGGCCAAGGAGAAATCCCACAATGCTTCTGCAGGTGAGTTTGGGTTTAGTTCTTCTGAAGTTCATACTTAATTAAGGAAAATTGGACCAAAATGAGATTTGGTCAGGATTTACTATTTGTAGATATATACTTTATTTTTCAAATTTTATTTGTAATCTGAATCTGCTTTTCTACCTACATACCTGATTAATTTTGCCCTCTTTCTTGAGCATAGTAAAAATAGTGCAGATTCACTCAGTGTTATGTTTCAATGTAGGATGCTTGTGCATAATTATAATTTTATTGTCTAGGATAGACAATAATGGGAATATTCTACAATCCAGTTTCTTGTTTTTATGTTGGACAGAAGGTGTTTCCTTTTTTTTTTTTTGGTAACATCTTTGTGTATGTCTCAGATTTTCCATGGGTTCTTCTAAAAGTTCATTGAATATGTATATATTATACGAATTTCCAAATTATTTTGCACCAAACTAAAATTTTTAATTCCATTTTCCATGAGCTTTTCTTTCATAATGTGTTATTTATTTGGGAGAAACACATAGAAATCTCCCTTCCATAGGTTCTACTCCCCGAATATGTGCAGTGACCTGCCTTGGGCCAGGCCAAAGCTGGCATTCTGGGGCTCAATTCCAGATCTCTCAAGTGAGTTGTACAAGCTCATTTACTTCAGTAATCACGTGATGCCTCCCAGTGTGTGTGCTATCTGGGATTGGGAACAGAGCTACAACCTGAACTCAGATACTGTATATTAAATGTGGGCATCCCAATGGGCATCTTAGTTATTTGTCAGACACTTGTCCCCCCATGAACTTTATAAATTATTCCTACACATTTTCCAGAATCTCTCAGGGATCTATTGTTAGGAGTCTGGTCCCAGAATCATGGCATTTATTTATTTATTTATTAACAATTTATAACATTAGTGTCTAGTTGTTTCTTTTGAGAATTGTGCCAGTTGCATTTGACTAGTAATTTTTAAAATTCACATAGATTTACATGTTTGCCACATTTTAGAATTTTTGTAAGGCTAACTCACATAAAGTATCATAATCTATTTTTATTTTACATTTCTCTGATAACCCGTGAAATTACGCTTCTTTTTATGTTTATTCATCATTTGTGTTTTCATTTCTGTGAGATATTTGTGTCTTTTCCCCAATTTTCTATTGGATATTTCTCTTTTTATTGATTTATAGGAGTAAATACTGATATTTTCTTAGTTCTATAATTATATGTGTTGCATGTACTTTGAGGTATTTCTGGTACATGGAGGCAGTTAAGATTAATATGGTCAAATGTGGTAGTGTTTTATAATTAGCTATTTAGGGGTGATAGTTATAATACATTAATTAACCTGATATATGGAGATAGGCTGCCTGAATTTAAATTCTGACATGTCCATGTCTTAGCTGTGTAACCTAGGATAAAGTTTGTAGTCTTTCTATTATGAATTTTTAAAATCAGCTGCAGAGATTTTTTTCAATTAAAAATTTTTGTCATACTACATCAGCTCTACATTGTCTCCTACGTAGTGGTTTCTTTGTTTTTTTTTTAAGTTCATCTGTCCCTATCCCTGACTTAGGCCATTCGTAGGATGAAACTCAGTTAATTAAGTACTGTGTATTAAGAACTTTTCTAATGTTACCATTTAAAATTATAAAGTTCTAATTACTTTTTTTTTAAATTTCTTAAAAAGTATTCCTTTGAAAGGCAGAGTTACAGGGGCAGAGAGGGAGGAGGATGGAGAAAGAATGAGGGCTCAGTTACTTGATTTGATTCACTTCACAAATGACTGCAATGGCTAGGGCTAGGCCAGGACGAAGCTAGAAGCCAGCAGGTTCATCTGGGTCTCATTTGTGGATGGTGGAGGCTCAAGGACTTAGGAGAGCTGTTGCTGCTCCTAGGTGCATTATGTAATAGAAGTCGATCAGCTGTAGCACGAACCAATCCCCATAAGGGATGTTGACATCACAGATGGTAATTTACAGTGGCTTAACCCCACTGTGCTGCAAAGTTGTTCCCTTTAATGCTTTTCTGCATCTAACACGTTTTTCCCCCTAAAGGCTATGTATTTATTTGAAAGGCCCAGTTTAAGAGACAATGGGAAAGGCACAGAGATTTTTCATCTGTTGGTTCACTTCCCAAATGACTGCAACAGCCAGGGTTGGGCCAGGCCGCAGCCAGGAGCTTTCATCTATTCCTGTCTTCCATGTGGGTGCAAGGGCCCAGGCACTTGGCCTATCCTCCATTGCTTTCATAGGCATGTTAGCAGAGAGTTCGATTAGAAGTGAAGCAATGGAGTCTTGAACTGGTGCCCATGTGGAATACTGTTGTTGCAGGCAGCAGCTTTACAATGCCAGCCCTTTTACACATTCCTCATGTATTATTTTCACTATAGTTAGTTCTGTTTTAATTTTCACTAGGATTTCTTCATTGACTCATCTGTATTGTGAGATGTTTCAAAGTAGTCTTGTTGGTAATCTGCTCTTAGCATGTAACGTAACTTAATGAAAGAAATTGTGCTTTCATGACGCCAGTTTTTTGAATATTATTGATATGTACTTTATGAACTAATATATCATTAGGTTTTATAATTTTTCCGTATGTGCTTGAAAATGTATCAGGTTGTTGATTACTGGTCTCGGTGTCTAATAAACCCTCAAGTTGTAATTTTCATACAGTGTATTAAAGGCATAGAAATGTACAATTATTAAATCTTTATCTTTGAATTTAACATTTTACATTATATGTTAACCTTCGCCATCCTGTAACACTGCTTATCTTTCCTTACTCTGCTTTGCTTGATACTTTAATTTTCAAATTTTTGATGCCTCTGATTTTAATTAACATACTATTGCGTATCTTTTGTTTCATCTGACAGTCTCAGTGATGAATCTGTTCCTGCTTTCTCAAGTATTCAGTTTAAAAACTTTGCATCTGTTGGTAGTAAATGCTTCCTAGTTTGTATTTTTTTTTCTTTTTTGTCTTGAGTGAAGGTTTACTAGGTAAAGGATTGAGTTGACAGTTCTTTTGTCTTAGTACTTTAAAGTTTTATTCCACTGTCATATATGTCCTATTTTTACTGTTGATATGTTTGAACTTAGGTTAAATTGTCATTTCTTTATTTGTGATGTCTTAGGCTATTTTCAAACCAATTGTCTTTGACATTCTGGATTCTTACTGCAGTGAATCTTTTTTGTTGTTTTCTTTGTGCTTATCTAGCTTAATTTTGATGGACTGTATGAAATTAACTGTATCCAACTACTTTTTATTCTCCAGTCTTTTATGGTTTAAACAAAAGCATTGTGCTGTATTTTCTCTATTGGTGAATTTATCTCATTGATCACTTTGGAAACTGATCATCCCGTGGATTTATAAGTGTTGTTTTCCCTCCATTTTCTCTTGCTATAAGTTGTCCTTTAAAAACTACTTCACTTGAACATTTTTTTTAAAAATTATTTTACTTGAAAGAGATGCAGAGAATGAGAGGGAGAGACCGAGTTCTTTCATCTATTGACCATTCCCCAGGAGGCTGTAGTGGCTGGAGCTAGGCTTGTCTGAAGCTGAGAGTCAGGGGCTTCTTCTGGGTCTACCGTGTGGATGCAGGTGCCCAACACCTTGGGCCATCCTTCAGTGCACTCAGACCATCAGCAGGGAGCGGGATTCTGAGTGTAGTGGTTGGAATTCTAACACATATGGGATGCTGGCACCATAGGTAGAGAGTTAGCCTACTAAACTGCTGTAATGGCCTCTGTCTCGTTTCTAAAACCACTTTTGTTTTTGTTTGAGAGAAAGAGGGAGTTTCCATGAGTCTGTTGCCTCCCGGCTAGAATGCCCACAATGGCCAAGGCTGAACCAGCCTGAAACCCAGAGCGATGGACTCAACTTGGTTCTTCCACTTTGGTGAGGGGGAACCAAGTACTTTTGCCATCATTTGTTATTTCTCAACATGTACGGGACACTGGAGTCTGGAGACTTTAACCGAGGCACTCTGATTTGGGGAACAAGTATCCCAAGTATCAAGTTAATTGTCATGCCAAACACCTCCCTATTTACAGTCTTTTTTTCTTATTTCAATATTTTTTTTTTTCGAAGTTCTGCTGTTTCTTGTCATTTTTAGAAAGTTAGGTAAGCCTCATTAGTTTTTTTTTTTTTTTATGAGAGCGAGAGAGAGAGAGAGAAAGAGATAGAGAAAGAAATAAGCCACAATGACATCGACTGCACTAAGAATTAGCCCACCACCCCCAAGGCTGCACCAGAGTGACACCAATAGTATAAGTTGGACCCAGGTGTCCCATATGGGTGTCAGGGACTTGATTATTTAGATATCATCTGCCTGCCTGTAAGGCCACTGTGGGGGTTGAAAATATGAGCTATGTAAGGATTCGAACCTTAACTACTGGGCCATGTATGCATTTCTCCTCTCTTGTCATTTTTGCTATTTTCTAATGTACATTTGTAAAGATTCCTTCTTTCTTTCTGTATGATTTCATATATTGTATGTTATATTCTTTTTCTGAGAAATTGAACATAATGTCCTGTTAATGTCTTGTATTTGAGGATTCATTTCCTTTTGCAATGCATATATTTGCTTGAAAGTTTACATCTGGTTGATTTTAATCTGGGGATTTAATCTTTCATTCAGGGGTCATTCATTTAATCTTTCATTCAGGTGTTGTTTGAATTAACTTAATCTATATGGCATTACATACTTAGGAGTGTGTTCTCAGTCTTAGTTTAATATAACCCCACACATATTTCCCACTAGTGGTACTGGCCATGATTCCTGTTTTCCCTTTTTTTTTTTTTTTTTTTTTTTGCATCTTTTATTGCTCAAAACTTTGCTTGTCAGTTCAGGCTTTGTACTGTGTATATGTTTTAGAATGAGAGGTTTGCTTATGCACATTTCACTTAAGTTCAGTTTCTTCTGTGCAATTTAAAGTTCTGTCTCATGCAAGATCTAGTTCTTGATATTACTGACAAGTCCTTCACAGTATGCAGTCTGATATGCTGCTGGAAGTAGGAATTAATCA